TAGGGAGGAGGAGAAGAGAGGAGAGAGAGAGAGAGAGAAGGAGATCGGCAGCCTAGCCGCCAGTGGGGGAGAGAGAGAGTGAGAGAGACCTAGATGGGAGAGACCAACCGCTTGGAAGACCGACACCTAGGTTGAAGAGACCGACAGCTTAGGAGACCAGCACCTTGAGAGGAGTGTACGTTGGTGTGGTGTAGGGGTTAGTGTAGGGAGTAGGGAGTACATGGTATGGGTGTAAGGAGTATGGGTATAGGGAGTAGAGATAGGGAGTATCGGTATAGGAGTATTCCTCTCAACTGTAAAGTTTTCTCTCTTATCTCTTAAGGGTAATGGATCTTCAAGCAAGCAAAAGAAAAACTCTCTCTCTCGTAGGTTAAACCTCATTTCAATTCATTTCTTACCAACCTTTTACAAATGATAATGCATAAGTTTATATAGAGTTATCCCTTAAACAAGGGTCGACACTCAAAACTCAAAGAAACTGCCTAAAAATATAAATAGGTGAATTACAAGTGAAAATGAGAAAATAAAAAATAGGTCCCCAAAAAAGGGCCTCTACCCATCTATATGGTTTGGGGTCTTGTTTTCATGATTTTCGGTAGGCATCTCGAGCAATCTATCGTCATAAAAACGTAGATCGTCTCGAGAGGAACGTTTTGATATATGATTTGCATTATGTCATATAGTATTGCTCGTGTTCTTCAAAGTTTCAAAATTTCATCCAAACATGCAAACTTGAATTTCTTAAACATTAGATCTAGCTCGAATTGCCGCTTCTTTGGTCTTCTTTTTATGGTAAATCGAAGAGGAAGTCGTTTTGGTTGTTTTGCACAAAAAATCATGCGATTTGGCCTCTGATTGACCACTTTATGATTATTGGGAGTCACCAGAAAATGGTTTTTTGGCGATCCAAAGATTGTGCCTTAGTACGAGCTTCAAACAAAAGTCTTCCCGATCTTTATCTAGGGTGCATTTTACCTCAAATTGAAGCCCTTCGAGTCACAATCGCAATGCCTCTGTTTTTAGGTTTGCTCAACTTCAAGGCTTCAAGATATGTCCATCGGAGTGAAGGGAGGTCACACACACAAAAATCTGCATAATGTGTTTTTTGAACAACCTTCTCTCTAATATTTCTAGCTGCTAGGTGATCGGCTTGATGTGTAACATATGTCAAAATCTTCCTCTCAACAAGGGGAACAACATGCTAAAATTTGAGCTCGATCCGCTTTGGGATACAAACCCCGCAAAATTATCCAATTTTTGGGCAAGTACATCAGTTTTTTACTAATTTTAGTGACTGGTTATACTGGCTGCACATGAGTTGTAAATATCCTACCCTTTTTAGGAAAGTAGGACCTAGAAAAGTTTGTTTGAGCTGAAATTTGGCAGTTAAGGATTTTGGGACCTTCTGAAGCCATCTGAGGAGGTCTAGTGACTATCTGAGATCACCATAATGTGGCTCTAGTTAGGGGGTAGCTCGTGTACGTCAGAGTGCAATACTCCATACTGAACCTTCATCATGTTCCCTCACGCCTTTATCTGGTTGGGGGGAAACTTTGTAACAAACTTTGGGATGTCAAATGTTACTCTTACATTCCTTCTGGGGCTAAGATGACACCATTTCAATAGATATTCAAAATTAGGCTTATTTTCACGTGGGCTTCCATAGTCCATAAGCATATTTGGTACCTATGGGTCTGCGTTGCAACCGCCTCCTCTTTTATGCACATGGGGAAAGAAGTGCATCAAAAATACCTTACAACTTGCCCTATATAATTTTACTCTTCAAGAGGAGCAAGAAGTGTGACATTCGGAACAAAATCACCTGAGTTTATCTTTCAAATCCGTATAGGGGTATTGTTTTTCTCTCAATTTTGTTTCCCAGTTACCAGCATCAACGTGACCTTTGGAAGAGGGTAAATCACGCCTAGTATCATGTCGACAGAGGGGTAACTGGTGGGTGTTTTTGGTTCCAATATGTGGGTCATTTCTTAAGGGCTTGTGAGCCATCTTGTCAGAATCTGGATTTGACTGGCAGTTGGGGGGCCTTCTTAAGGGGTTCCCTTCCCAATCCGTCAAGTTTTGAGGAAGTCTGGTGGATAGGGGCCTTTCGAGCATGAACCTGGATCATTAGGAGTTAATTTTGATCTGCTGGTGGGGGCCGTTCTTCAGGGAATTCTTCTTAATCTAGTAGACATTGTTTTGATTCGACAATTGGGAGCCCTTCTTAGGCGTGTGGATTGCTTCATCGATATTCATATCGATTAATTTGTTGGGGGCCTCTTTCTGGTGTGAACCCAATTTGTTAGGGCCTAACGGGGAGCCTTCGGGACATGAACCAGTAGAGGGAGCCTTATTAAGGCATTGGATCCATACTGTCGAGATATTGAATTGGTTTGACAGTGCGTAGCCATTTGGGGGCTTACCCACTTTGTCGGAGTGATTTGCTTAATTGAAGTTTTGAGATGAAACATTTCGAAAGGTTGTCGATTCGATCTGCCATCTTGTTGATTTTTC